TCCCTTGTCAGGTGCGTAAATGAAAAGGTAAGAGAACCTGGGCAAGGAGGGGATTCAAAGATATAGATCTCCCTCCTGCTGTGCATATAATAAAATAGGGATGAAGAAAGGCTTAAAAGAAAAGGAACTGAGGTATTCTACAAAGATTAATCAATTACATGCAGAAAAAGCACTCTGTTCTCTATGGAAGCAATGTGCCTTCAGAAAGATAAAAGGGCAGTTAAAGAAAGGATGCCTCTTCTTCCATTTCAAATATTACACCTTTGAACCAATGACGGAGCATGTAAAAATACTTCCATTCTTTCAAAACAGTAAGATACTGTTTGCAAGGGATATTAATGGACACCATTCTTTATCCCTGAGAGATGGAAAGCACTGGTATGTTTTCATGTGTTTCTGGTTACACACTTTCAATATGTCTTTTCCCCTCCTGGAATAACTTTGACTTCTTAGCCCTGGCTCTGAAAAGATGTAATTTTATTTCAGATTCTTTCATGATGCTTTTTTTTTTTATATGCTTGCCTTTGTTCTGTATCTGAGTACCAGCAAGGCCTCTTACCAAGATGGGAAAGATGGAAAGGTGTTCTTCTTACAGGATCCCTGTACATTTTCTGCAACTTTACCTATGCAGCCTTTGTAAATGGAACTGCTACATCAAAGAATAACTATAACGTGGAGGCAGAGGCTTTCAGGGAGTATGAAGAGCTTGTGTCTGAAAATTTGTTCTAATATCCATATGAATATGGGTTTGGAAAGGATATTCTGCTTGTTTCCTGTACAGCATGGGATGTTCAAACTATCTTATCTTTAGTATTGTTATTTAGTATCAAATAGTCCATACCAAATAAAACCAGAATGTATTTTTGGTAACTGAGGAACAGCAGGTTCTGGAGTGTTTAAAATAGATGACATATGATACCAAGAATAGCCTGCAACTTAGCCGACCTGAGAAACTATTCAAAGAGCAAACCAAAATGGAGGGCAGTTCTATACTCCATGCTTTCACTAACATTTATTTTGCCATTTTTGCTTTGTTTTGCTTCAAGCTTTTAATTAAGATTTCCTTGGCTCTTCTGACCCATTTCTATATTGTTAAAGGCAACAGAAAAGAGGCTGCCAGGATAGCAGAAGAGATCTATGGAATAGTGCCAGGTAAAGTAAAAATATGAACACTCTAACATTCAAATGTATATTATTTGCCACATTTTTTGTAACTTGAGGATTTAAACCACTGAGTTGCCATGAAATGAGGAATCTGTTGCTAAACGTGTGGGTGAATGTTTTAATCTGAAGTGCCTTTCATTTCTGAGGTCTGTGCAGTGTCAGTGTGTGTTGGCATGATTTAGGTGTGCAAAATATGAGACTGCAACAATTACCCAGCTAGAATGAGGACATTTACTCAAGGGGGCTATGGTGAATAAAAAGATTGTTCTCAGGAGCAAGGCATTCTTTAGTGAGGGTTACAGATGGCTTTACTAAATAGCTAGTTTTACTGCCAGAGAATATTGAGTGAAAAGTTTTAACATGTTCATTTTCTGAAAGGAGATCCAAGGAGGATATAACTAATGACTTTATGAATCTAAGCCAAGAATCCTTGTTTTGTTAAATCAGAGGATAAAAATGAATACAGCTAAAATTATTCTGAAAAATATACAGCGTGGGAATATATTGTGTTTAGAAGGACATTTAGTAAGTAATTCATTTTTTTGGCTTTTTTTCCAAGTAATTTTAGTCCTTTATATTGCTGCCATAACAATGAATGGACAGGCGTTTACATGCCTGGTAATTCCACTAATTAAAACGACATATTTTAAATTTACTACTAATGAAATGTATTTTCCTACTTGAAGATTCATATCAGCCTTGTGACATCAGAGATTTTTATATGACTCACTTTTTGGGCACTTGCTTCATGATGAGTAGTGCTGCCATGAGCAAGCACGTGAACATGAGCAGAACATGGGTGCTGCGAGATGGTCAGCCAAAGCAGAGATACTAAGATCTGGCCAAGAGAAATAATGCTGCAAAGCATTTCTTACAAAGCTGCTATATACAGGCATGTGTGTCTCTGGGTTATTAACTTACGTGTTATTCTCTGGAGTATAATTCCAACCATTTATTACTGTCATTTTTTCCCCAAGTGCCTTCACGCAATTGTAGTCAGACACATGGCAAACAGCAGTTTCTCCTCCATGCAGGTTCTGATTGAAGTGCCTTGAAGTTTAGCAGACTGCAACATATTTTTATCTGCAAGTTGCCATTTGCAAAAAGCCATTAAGGATAATCTTTCAAAACATAAGATCATATGATGCAGTTGCTGGGACACTATTATTAGATCGCAGGCCGGGAGCTTCACAGCCTTTTCTCTTTGCAGTGAAGTAGCACAGCAGCAGCAGCAGCGGCGGCAGCAGGCCAGCTTAATTTATCTGTAGAAATTCAAGACAGCACAGTGTTTTCAGATATGTCACTCACAGCTGTGAAAGGAAGATGTGCCCCGTATGGGAACTATATTTGCCACATGTTTCAGGGAGGTAGGTTGCTGTGGCTAGCATGGAAGTATGCAGCAGTGTGTGTTTTCATGGTGAGGCGAGTCTGTGCATATACATCCATTGTAAATGCATTGTAAATGTATGTGGCGTGCACTTGCACATGCTATGCTGTATGCATAAAATGTTATATGAGACACTGTAGCTCTGTTGTCTGAGTCACTTCTGAATCTTTCTGCTGTACAAGGGCCCTGGGTTTTGTCACTTGCAGCACCTTCTAACTTTTTGAATTGAGCTTGCCTATTTCAGTCACCAGCATGATGAGGGATGTGTGGGTTTTGGGACATTTTCAGGAAACACTTTTTCTGTCCCTACCTGGTTCCTGTTTCCAATATTTTGCCTGGTGCATCCTGTTTGATCCTTACGACCCTGGTTGCAAGTTGTACAGGCTAGTATTTCCATGCCAGCTTCCTGCCCTAGGAGCCCAAGAACAGCTCCTTAACTAAATGGAAACGAGCAATAACTGTAGTTAAAACCATTAACCCCATGAGCTGAAGTGCATCCTGGTTCTTGGGTAAGAAAAGGAGACTACCTTGGCCAAGGTTGAAACTTCTGTTGTGCCCTTGGCCTCAAGTCCCCAGAGATGTGTCTGTGCCTCTCTCATTCCTCTGTCTTGGAGAGCACCTGAAATGGAAAAAAACACCCTTTCCATTTTCTCTGGTGGGCGGTGTAGCTGAAAAAATTAAACAGGACGAGGGTTTAAAATACAGTGCACATGGGGCTGCTGTACAACTGAGCATGAATGGAAACACTAGTATTGCTTCTGTCCTGTGGCACTATAAACGCTGCTGGCCTTTGGAGAAATGCTTACTACACTGTGACGATATGGTTATAAATTTTAATATAGAGCACATAAATTTGCTCTCCATTTGAGTTGCAGGGATTTAACCTGGGCTGACTGACTATGCCTGTAGGTAGTAGCTAGGCTAAGGAAATATTTTCTTGGCACTTGAATAGATTAAGATAAGAAAAAGGACAAGCTAGCCTACACGAGGAGTCTGAACAGTTCAAAACTCAAAATGATTAAGGAAGAAAAGTAAAGCCTCAGGCAGAATTTATTTTTCCATGTCTTTTCTAAAACCTTTCAGTGAGGAGGAGGATGAAACCTGTTACTTAGCAGTCTGAGCTGGAGGATATTATTTATGAAATTGTCAGTTCAGGAAATAAAACTGCCAGAGACATGCCAGAATCCATTTGATGGACAAGTCATCGCCACATCCCTGCTATGAGTCTCTTAACAAAGTTCAAGAGAAGCTGGAATATGATTTGTAACAAAAGCTCCCTAGGAAAGATGGAAGCTGATAGGATTTGTAATAGGAGAACTGCAGGTCCCTGAAGTCCTTGGGTGAGTCCCAGCAGCACTAGACTTGTGGTGTTTGCTGAAGCATGTTTTTAGCTGTTTTTAAAAGTTTTGCCAAGAAGCTTTTGTTTAGGTCCCTCAGCGAGTAGCTGGCTTTCGTAGGAGTGCTGAGCCTTCTGCTGCTCTGCTGAAATCAATTTATCACACAGTTTCACCACTGACCCCACATGGATTTCAGTCCTGGTGTGCATTTACATGTAGCAGGTTTTTTCCCTTTCCTCCCAGGATCTGCTTTTGCTACTTACCTGAATTAACTATTATGCATTTACTGTTTCAGGCAGCTGGGCAGACCGATCCCCTCTTCATGACGCTGCCTTCCAAGGACGCCTCCTGTCTTTGAAAACCTTGATTGCACAGGTAAAGGTCTCCAGGTAAAGAAAAGGTTGGGAAGCAGCGTAGTTTCTGTTGAATTGCATCTGTGACTTGGTGAGCTGGTAATAGACTGTGGAAAGGCATAAGAAATACAATTGTATGAATAATACATCCACATGCACACTTTGGGAATGTATTAGTTTGCTCTGTTAGGATGCTGGGGACAAGCCCAGGACAAAGACTGTCACAGTTTGTGGCTTGCTGTATGATAAACAATGATCCTTGGAATCTTTTTCAATAATAAACCATGCAAACTGGATTTTAGAATATGGAGAAGTTTTATATATATATATATATATATACACACACACACACACACATATATGCACGTGCTAATTAAGAAAAAAGGTAGAAAGTTGTAGAAGTACATCCTGCTTTATAAAACAGCAAACATGGTCTTCCTAAATAGAGAGCTGTCAGCTTGAAACCCTCTGTTCCACATGAAACCAAGAGTGCAGACAAAAGAAAGAGTGGAGGAAAGGAATATCCTAAAAAGGACAAGAAGCTGATATGAAAGTGGGCAGCTGCAAAGGGACATGTAATGGTATTTCATGCTTTGCCAGCCATCTTCCTTATCACCTCTACTTAAACTTACTGCCCTCATCTGGCACAAATAAGCAACTGGCCCCACACCCAGCCAGTTAATTCCCTGAGTCTGTGGCTTGGCCATCAGACTTTTTCTATTCAAGTTAAATAATCTCTATCAGTGAGGCCACAGCTCGAAGGGACAATGTCCTCAAGGAGCAGAGCTGCCAGTGTGAAAGCCTCTGCTCCAGACATCTATCAAGGCATGGCTGCAGCTAAAAGAGGTTTCTGTTTATTGCCAGTTTTCTCATTTCTATTTCCTGATCTTTCTTTCCTTCTCCTGCTGATATCAAATGATTTTACAGAAAAGAAAGTGATAGAGATTAGAGATAACAAGGAAGAGAGCTCATTCAAAATATTTGCTGGTTTTCTGACCCCCTTTATCTCCATTTATGCAGATCTTACACCAGTTTATTCATGAGGGGCACCCAGTGTTGTGGTTATGCAGTAGATGCTTTGGTTATACATTGGTCATGGTTATACACTGGAGAAGCACTCGGTGTTGTGGTTATATATCATTTAATAAATCTACCCGTTCTCCTTCTCCCAAAGACATTTAATTTGGGGAGTGAAGGATGAGGGTCCTTGCTGATGAAAAAGGATCAAATCAGCAATGTCTGTAGAGTATGAATTGGAGCTGATTCACCCCAGCTTGATAAATGTAGGGACCAAGCTGTTCATGTAGCAGCATAATGATTGCTCATTGCTTCTAATATAATTACACTACTAGCCTAAGATTAAATATGGAGCTATACTTTAAAGTATATGTGGGACACTTAGAAGTCTCTGCTGTAGGACCATAGCTTTCAAGAAAGCCAGTGAGGTTTCTGCTCCTCAGGAGTTTCCTGGACATAAGAGGATGATGGAGCACTGATGTTTTAATAGAGTTCAAGAACTCACCAATACCTGTTCAGCACCAAAAAAGATTTTGTTTTTTCAGATACATTGGGAAGAGTTTACAACCATCTGCAAACAAAGTTTAACATGAGCAGTATTTGGTAAACAGCTATGGTAAGATTTATAACTCAGTCTCCATTTTGTAATGGAAGTGCTTGCTGTTTTGCCTAAGATATCAGTACTTATTCTTTCACTTGCAATGATAGAGTTTCCTTTTTAAAATATATATATCTGAATAATAGTTAAGAATAGCTCTCCTCTTCTTATCAGGACCATCTAGAAGACGTTCCTCTTGAAGGAATATGCTGATCAAGTATGAAACATCTATACAATTAGAAAATTAACTATTCCTCTGGCACTGATGTAATGTATGAGAAAATTTTAGCAACAGCTTTTACATCAATGATCTGCATGAAGGGACAGAGCATATCCTCAGCAAGTCTGCCAATGATACAAAACTAGGAGGAGTGGCTGACACACCAGAAGGCTGTGCTGCCATTCAGAGACACCTGGACAGGCTAGAGAGTTGGGTGGGAAGAAATTTAGTGAAGCTCAACAAAAGCAAGAGTAGAGTTCTCTGACTAGGGAAGAATAACCCCATACACCAGTACGGGTTAGGGGGTGACCTGCTGGAAAGCAATGCTGCAGAGAAGGACCTGGAAGTCCTGGTGGATGACAAGTAAACCATCAGCCAGATATGTGTCCTTGTGGCCAAGGAGGCCAATAGTATCCTTGAGTGCAACAAGAAGAGTGTGGTCAGTAGGTCAAGAGAGGTTCTCCTCTCCCTCTACTCTGCCCTGGTGTTGCCACATCTGGAGTACAGTGTGCAGTTCTGGGCTCCTCAGTTCAAGAAAGACATGAATTACTGGAGAGAGCTGAACATGAGTAAAAACTTTACTGCAAGGGTGACAGAGCACTGGAACAGGCTGCCCAGAGAGGTCGTGGAGTCTCCTTCTCTGGAGACATTCAAAACTCGCCTGGACACGTTCCTGTGTGACCTGGTCTAGGTGATCCTGCTCTGGCAGGGGGGTTGGACTGGATGATCTTCAGAGGTCCCTTCCAACCCCAACCATTCTGTGATTTTGTTATTCTGTGATTAATAATGCTTTTACATAACTGAAAAATTATTGTTTCCTATAATAGAATTTCTACCTTAAAGCAGTTACAGTGGTTGCTTTTAATGCTCATTGCATGGGGACAGGTGACTTTTACAGTGTTATATTGCTCACAGATACTTATTTCTGCTCATCGCACTTGCTATTGCCTACCAAAAAGTGCATTACTGCCATCTTGTGAGCTGCGGAGCTTATAGCACATCAGGTGGAGACCAACTGTGTTACACAGCGCAAGACATCAAGTGGAGGACGGAGCTGCTTCCAGGCCTGTTCTCACACATGGCTGTGATATCTTAATCACCAGATGTAGCTGCATTCTGAGGAAAACACTTATGACAACTATTTTCCCTTTTGTGAATATGTCTGGTTTCTGTTTGCACAGGAATAGATGCAAGAACTGTCATTTAGGCTACTGCCATTTAGACCTTTAATGAGGCATTTGTAAATCATATTCCTTTCTTTCCAGTGTAAAATGTTTCCTGGGTGGTCAAGTAAGAGGAACTGATTCATGGGTGGGATATGTTTCATCTATCTTATGGATTTATCAGGCACTTACTACCTCCGAATGAAACACCCTGGGCACCCCATATACTCAGTAGAAGCATTTTTAGGACACAATTCATCTGAACAACTAGAAACAGCTGGTTTACCATGGGATCAACCTTACCCTAGGAGGGAGCCTGTTTCTGCCCACTGAAGGAGCTGAGGGCTCCAGCTGAGCTGCTGATACCTGTGCCAGAGGCATCCTAATTTGTGGAGGTGAATCCCATCAGCTGTGGCTCCTGGTGCTGGACTTAACAGGGAAGTTAACATTACCCTTATAAGCTAAAGAAACATGATGTGTTTCCTGTGATTGACCATGCATTGTAAAGAACTAGGACTAGGACACAGACCTTGTCCTTGCTTCCTCTGTAACCCCGTCACCAGCTGCCATCTTTGGGGACAAGAACCAAAGCACTTAGCAGCATTAATCCAACCCATCCACCTTCCCTGGACACGCAGCCAGCAACGTGGCTCTCTCCCAACACCATCTGACCACCCTTTGTGCCCCCAGCGACACCCGGGGAGCTGTGTGGTTTGGGCCAGACTTACTCCTCACGCCCCCCCGCCCTGTATTGCAGGGCTTTGACGTGAACCTGGTGACGACAGACCGCGTGTCGGCTCTCCACGAGGCCTGCCTGGGTGGCCATGTTGCCTGCGCGAAGGTGCTGCTGGAGAATGGCGCTCAGGTGAGTCCCGGGGATGCGGGCACCTGGGACATGGATGCTCCCGGCATCAGCGGGGATGTTGGATGGGGTGCCTACAGGGCAGGGCCAGGATGCAGACAGAGAGGAGCATCCCAGGCAGAAACAGGGAAAAAAAGAAGTGTTTTGTTTCTATGGGTAACGGATTTGCCTTTTCCTAGTGGCTTTTTGAGTCACCTCGTTATTCTGTTTTATTTTCCCTCTGTATGTCAAACGTAGTCACGATTGATGGAAAAGGAATGAGAGATGCTAGGTGAAAAGAATATTGAAGAAAATGACTTATCCCTTTTTTTCCCCCGCTATAATGATCTCTGGAATTGCCTCTGGTTTCCTGTGGGATGGTTTGGGAGTCTCATGTAAGTAAAAGTAGATATGCTTAAAGCAATGAAACATTTTATATGTTAATAAAATAACATTTCCCCCAGCTGGGTCTACAGTAGAATATAAATTAAAAATGGAGATACAGGAATGAATTAAATATATAGGAACATATTTCATTCAGCTAGGTTTTCAAGTGCAATTTATACGGTAAGAAATTGAGCAACACCATAAGAGGCAATCAAGCTATCCTCTGTAGAAGAAAATAAATTTGTTAACTTCCTAAACTGTATGCCAAATTTTAATCCCTTAGAAAGATGAAAGGAAAACCCCTTTATGCTCAATTTTACTTGATTTTGGTATATTAATGACATTGCCTTTTTATAACTCAAGAAAAATCACCTGTTGCTTTCCTAAGAAATCATCCTCTTTCTGGTATAATACATAGTTTGGGTATATTTTTTGGTGTTTGCTTTTCCCCTGCTCTCTGTTCATAAATAAAATCTACAGACCATTGTCTAACTTCTCTGAGGAAATGTGCCATTCTGCTGCCCTCCTTTATTGCTGTACCCTTTATTTCATTTTTTTACCAAACCATTTACTTCACAGCAGCTCTCTTACCACT